CGCCCCGCCCCGCCCCGCTAAGGCTTAGCCTGGCCCAGCCAATCAATAACGAGCCCGTCTCACTTTCCACGGCGCGGGGGAGCGGCGTGTTTGGAGCGACAGGAAACACATTTGCGATCGTGACGAAAGGGGATGGGGGTGGCAAAACAAATAATCTGAGAAATACAGCAAAGTCCAGCACGCCAAGTTGCCAAAGCGCTGACTGCGGGCCGCGCTCTGCAGCAGCACCAGCAGCTTACCGGCGGGCCGCCTGTGGAGCCCGGGGTAGGCAATCCCGTCGTACACGCGTGTCGCGCTGCGGCCTACCCGCCGGGCTGAGTGCGACCGCCCGCAGCCCCGGCCGCCCCCACCACGGCCCGACCGCTCGCACCGGCTGGCTTGGCTTTCCCGCTCTCCCCCGCTCAACCCCACCCTCCTCCTCACGCAGCGGGGCTGTGCCCTGCCGGCGCCGGCGCCGGTGCAAGGGTGCACTCAAACCGGTCGATTGTATAGTTCCTCCGTCTCCGTCGGCCTCCGTCTCCGTCCCACCCACTCTCTCCACCGCGTCTCGATACAATCAGGGGCCATGCCTGCCCCCGGGACATTCACCCTTGCGTCGCTACGGAGTCGCCCGCAGAGGGGCTCAGGAGGGACAGAGGGTCACCTCGGGTCGCCCTCTCTCAGCCCTGCTGCTGCTCCTCCACCCACCACACAGGCACGAGTCGTCAGAGTAGTCAGCCAGAGAAACTACAAACTCCGTGTCTTTACATACCACCCTGGGTGCCTTTACAAGAAGAGTAGGGAAGGGGGTGGGGTAAAAAGTGTACAACAACCTTATGTTTACGAATTACCTACAGCCTGAAATAAAACAAAATTTAGCGGTTTGCGGCTGTGATCAAGTTGCTGGCTGTCCAACGAAAACCAGTTCTCTCATTCTTCACTTTGTCAAACCTCCGCCCATTCAAGAAGAGAAATTGTTGTGCAGCGTACACATCATGGCGTGTGGGATGTGGGATCGTCACTACTCAATAAGGGCCGCCGTTGCCGTTACTATCCCCTGGCAGCGGGGCTCATTGGCTGCACGACGTCTTTGTCTCTCGAGTGCAGCCGACAATCACCCGCCGGCGGATGACTATTCGCACGCGATGGAGCCCCGTTGCCGCTGCCGCTGCCGCTGCCGCACGCTCCCGGCGGCCGTAACACGGGCCGTAATGAAGGCTTGAGGGCAGCGGAGTGCTAATAAGCGCTGTGCACGGCACTGTCACTCGAGCAGCCGAGCTGGCGGCGGCCGAACGACTACTTCATCTACATTGCACATGATCCAGACAAACGCACGGCACGGCGCTGTTTCCAAGAGGAAAAACCCTTTCTTTTTATTTGGAGGCAGAAAAGAATGTTACCATTGAGGGAAATTTGACTGTGTAATGCGAATGGCAATAAGGCAAATCTATCTAGAATGAGAGCATACACAGTGTGGCTCATTCACCCCGTTCTTTTGAGTGGGTAGGCAGACCCGTAACAGCACACCGCAAAATGCGGACTTAATCGCGTGGTTGCCCGCGGGTTCGCGTCCTGGTCCGCCTTTTGACCACGGGGTTGCCACTTCCCCCGCGGCACCCAAGACGAGCCTTGCCTACGTACCCAAGAGGACGGGGTGAGTGAGGTCCGAGGGGCCCACAACTCTGGAATTCAGGTGTACAAAGCCATCGAAATCTTTGGAAATCTTATTGAAATCAGTGAAATCTTTGAAATCAGTTGAATTCTCTTGAATTCACTTGAAATCTGTTGAAATCACTTTGAATTCACACGAAATCACCTTG